TGAATTTTGAGAGATCTAATTGAATTCAAGTTAGATAAATTTTTGCCTTAGTTAGTAACTTTCTATTCTTAATCATTGATTATTCTTATGGCATTATTTGAGACAAAGAAAGTTTTAGAGGCAAAGTTTTTTTGAATAACAAAAGATATTAATTTTTTCTTTGAATAACGTTTTTGAGTTAAGTGTACGTTTTAACTAATTACTCTTAAGGATCAAATACTCTAGTGATACATCAATTATTTCTTCAAAAAAAATTTTGTCAATATTTTTTTTTAATTTGAGGAAGAAGTTTCTAAACTCAATTATTTGAGTAGAGAAGATATAAACTTATATTAAATAAAATAAATTTCTCAATAATTAAAGACCGAATATCAAATTTAGGATGAGAATGAAACAAATAACATATTTCTTCTTTTTTTAATTTCGAAAAAAAAAGATTTAAATCTATTTTTTTTAATAAGAAATACACACATTCATTCCCCGAGTCAAATATTAATATATTTTCTTTTATTATTTTGTGAACAACATAAATCCAAGTGTACGTGATTATTGATACAATTAAAATTTAAATTGAAGTAGTGGAAATGTGGGAGAAAATAGTCACATATAATTATAGTTTTATTATTTATTAATCAAAGGGGAAAAGACATGTATTGTTTATGAGCAGTAACAGTTTTGTAATTTTTCAAAAGGACAGGTAGGAGAGTTGGTGGAACATAGACAAATAATAAACTGGATTCAATATTTTTGCAGTCCAATATCAATTATTTCTTCTTTTATCAAGTATGGCCAGGTTCTAAAAGGGTCAGCTTGAGTAACTTTCCCACTCGTCAAGGAATTCCAACATCTTGGATACCTTAAAACCTTCATTCTTCTTTCAATTTAGGGGCCTAGGCTATATTGTGGGTCATTCTAGCTTCCACAACTTCAATTATAAGTGACCATGGGAAAATGGTACACTTTTCATTTAAAAAAAAAAAACAGTATTTGGTTTGAATTTTCGAATTTTAACCGTTAAATTTATATATTAAGATGCATAATCTCTTAAAAAGTATAAGCTAAATAAACAATTCTTAGTACTGTTTTAATCAGATATAGTTATGTGTCATAGTTGTTAAATTGATATATGTATTATGTATCGAAATTTTATTTTTTAGTATTGAGTATCTGATCGTATTGTAAGATATGGTTAAAAATTTTAAAATTAATTATAAATAACATTTATACATGAAAAATAAAGAAATTTAAAAAATATTATATTTTTTAATATAATTGAAGATTATAGGATACAAATTGAAAAAAGATAATTATTTTTTTAATTTAAACCTTTAACATATTTTTTAATAATATAAATTTTTAAATAGAATATATAATTTTACATTAATTTATTAATTAAAAATAAAGAACATTTATCACGTTAAAATTAAAAAGAAACTCACTTTTTTAGTTTTTAAAATTTAAAATGTAAAGATTGAAATTTATAAAATATATTTTTTCTTGTTTCAATTCAAAAATTAATAAAAATAAAATTTTAATAATTAATTAGAATTAAACTTATAAAAAAAATGTATCAACTGTATTATATAATACGAGACGTATCATAAAATACTTGTTGTGTATCATATGATATGTTTTTTATATTTGATTAAATGCGATATAATTATAAATATGTATCGTTTTCTATTAATATTGTAATGTATCATACGATAATAATAATTATGATACATACAATCAATGACGTTTTTAGAGACGATTAATTATTTAATTTCAAACTATTTTAAGCTTTATAACCACCTATGGTTTCTTGTTCAACAACCTATGGCCCATGTAATATGTTAGGTCCTTGCTCCTTCCTCGATATTGGGGTAAGTTTTTCTTTACCCTAAGTAGAAGAATAAAAAAAATATATTAACATGGTGACATTCAAATTACAAGGTGTTTTGTTTCTTTGTTGTTTAATGGTACCATAGAAAAAGGGTTACTATGTCTATGTCTGAACTTTTCCATGCAAATCCATTGGACATCTCATCTTGGACAACTAATAAAAAGCTAAATACTTTTCTTTGTACATCAATATACTATAAACTATTCATGCCAACAGTTCAAGCTAAAATATCCCCTTCTAAATACTTGTTTTCTTCTACCAAAAAATTTAGTTTTAATATTTTTTGAAAAAACAAAATTAAGAGATAAAATAAATTGTTCAGTCTTCTAACATAAAAATAAATGCATTGAAGATATTACCAATAAGAGGTGATGGAAAAGATTTGGATCCAAGACTAGTTACTGTCGAGACTAATGACAAAATTAAACTAATATATACCTCATCTGGTTAATTATATTATACATTAACATTGTTTAATTCAAATAAACTATAAACTGGCATTGAGTTTCCATAGGTATTGGCTGAAAACGAATTAACCAATGGGTTATGTTTCTATTTTATTTTTGTGTGATAATATATATACAAATATATACTGATATAAGATAGCATGTATGTAGGGGTCTTGTTTGACCTAGGAAGGCATATTTCGCATGGGTTAGACCCATAGGAGAAGGAAATAAACGGAGATTGTGGCACAAAACGTGGATTTCTTTGTCCCATGAAAATGACAGCAAATCTTGAAAATTGCTTCAGATTAAGATCCATTGTTTCGATTGATAATGAAACTTATGACAAACTAAAATGTTGCTTAAACATTGCTTAGCAGTGAACATCTCCTCTTTCTTTGTCTAAACAAGCAAGCCTATGACAAAGTGCCCAATGACAACCAATTTACATGGAAAATCATCAATTTTCGGTGAAAGTGGGGTAACATTACGATTATTGATGATGGGTCACCTGTGAAAATCAGGACTGAATCTGAGGATTAGAGCCAAAGAATATTCTTATTCATATATTAAGATTCAGATTTGATTTTATTGCTTTCAAAATTTTCATGCTTCCCCCATGACAAATTAAACCAAAGTTTTATGCTTTTAACTTTTGTAGACATTCAAGCATTATTTTTCATATTTCAAATGATCACAGTTGGCGAAATTGTTGAAAGTTTGTTTAGATAGTGAAAGAAGCACGGACTGAATAAAATTTTAAGTTTGAATTTTAATTTTATTTTTTTACGTCTTAAATAATAATAATGATAAAATTTAGGTTTCTATTCATATACATATTTAATATATTTCATAATATTGAATATGAAAATGCATCTCGTTTCGATAATATGATTAATTTTTTTAATTTATATGAGAAAACTTATTGAGTTAATTATAACTTTGAACTATCGTTTCAATATTTGAACAAGAAATATTCAAAGTAGAGATTTTCAAAAATTTTGCTTTCCCTTTGGAAACATGCAATGGTCATTACTATTAGTGAGCCTCATTCATTAGTTTATACTGCATTTTCCTCATGTAATTCCTTCAAAATTAATCCTGAAATTCATTAATATTAATGCATCATACATCACAAAAATATCATGGTCAATAACGTAGGAGGATAATGCGGCAAGATCAGTGTGTTTTAAGGCTTCTGTCAATTGCTCTAGTGATTGAAAGGGACATATATTTATGGCTAAATAAATTCAATTGGAGACTGTTTCAAACCTTCATGCATGCTTTTTTTGACAGGAAATTAAGTAAATATTCTTCAAATTAATTACAAATTCAATATATTCTCTTGTTTTTAGTTAACAAGGGTAATTAAGGAGAACTAGTCAAAATCAAAATCTAGCTAGCACATTCTACTCTTTAACTTCTGTTTCTTTGTCAATAAAAATGTATATCTCTTTGTTTTTGGTTAACTTATGTTTATTTATTTCTTAATTTCTTTCATGCATGCATCCTATGTGTGATACATATTAAAAATTATTCGATCGTTATTGTCTGTAAATGTAAGTTTATAAGAATTTTTTTTTAAACGAATCAAAATAGTAAATAGTTGAATTCTCAATTCACTTAGCCACTTAAGAATTATGTTATAATTAGATAATTAATGAGTTTAAACAGTAATCATAGTATTATTGTGCTACCTAAATAAGTATGCCTAGAAACTAAATCTAAATTTTATTTCTCTTTTCAAAAGAAAGTGATCACGGATTGTGTAGGCTGCTAATCAACTTTTCCATTAGAAAATGAAAAAGAAACCAATGAATGAATGATCTGATGTGGTTGGTTAAATAAAGTTAGATAGGGTCAACACCTTCCTTTCGAGAGTTCAAAAAGGCTTCTTGAAGGTGGAAGATCATTGTCTAGGCACAAGCTTTTTTGATAGGAAAAGGAACCTGCCTCGTTTGTTCTTTTCTATATGGTTAAAATAATGGTGTGATAAGATAACCTTTAATCAAATAATTATGTGTACAATATTCAATTATGGAATATTACAAGGGAGAAGACATACCTTTCCCCTAATACGTTTTAAGCATATAATGGAGTAATTAAACAAATACTAACTAGAAAAAAGTAGTATTCTCTCTCTTTCTCTCATGACAAGATAGGCAGGAAGATTACGTTGGTATGCTCTTGCTTTGTCGGGAGGATCTTTTGATGATCTTTTAAAATGCCTCCATTCAAGGTGGCTTAATCAAAAGGATTAAGACATAATATAGCTTTTATTTTAATTTTTAAATGCAAAGTTCCATGAGCCTGCCTTTTGTTTTCTTGTGCTTGATGAATCTATATATATATATATATATATTAATTTTACTCATTCAAGTTGGTCATTTTGTTTAATTATTTATTTATTACCTACCACAATTGTTTGATGCTTATCGAATTCATAACTAAACTCGCACCGTCGCTACTACGTTATATATTTATTTATTAACGCGCGTGTCCATATACATGTACATATACTCACACGAAGGTTCCAACATTTTAATTACAAAATAATTAGTTTCCTATGGACACTGCAAATGAATAAATTTTGGAGGGCCTCCTTTCAAGTGCAATACAATACTTATGTATGTTCTTTCTGTAATGCGCAAACATGTGGTGGGTTCATTAGCTGTGAAAAAGAGGTCTCACAGTCAAATTCATCATGCTCAACTTAAATAGGTTGGTTGTACAGAGATAAATGTCATGGGAAATTTTGCAACACAAAGATTGAAATTCTTCATCTCTGCCAACGTTTAATTTCATAGAAAGTCAAAGCCCAGAAAAAAAGTGTGACGACATTGCTGAATGGGCTATTGCTCTGCCTGTTTTGTTGAGTGTTGACGGGCTATGAAGGTAAACAGGTCCAATTCCAAGCAACCCACCAAGCTAAATCGATTCAAGCCTGGCAGCACATACCACAACCACAAAGAGAAAGTCCGCCTGGCTACATTTTTCATATAATTCTTTAAAGAACTTCCAATAAAGATTGCTAACAGAAAAGACAAATACCAATGCTTTTGCCAATCTTCCCCTGCTCAAGAGCGCTGAAACAACCATGGATTTTACTCTTTGTTTTTGCCTTAAACAACTATTAAGCAGAATTGCATGAGTACCAATGGAGTCAAAAGGCAGCATGTAAGTCAATTTGAAACTACATAAGTCTGCAGACTGCTAAATCAGAAGCGCTGTTTACAGTCTCAAGCCAATATTGTGCCAACCCTACCTAGGATACTCATGGTCTTTTGAGGATTACCAGAATAAAGTAAAAAATCCTAATGAACTCATAATCACATTTACATTTGCTTCCGAGTTCTGTAATTGAGATACAAAGGATTTCAGCCATTAGACTTTTAGAGCACCTATTTGATGGAGATACAACTTTGAGATATTGCCATTTACAAATACAACTTGCCTGTCCTCGGCATGGAAGGAAAGAACAGTCCGTTGTGAAAATGCAGATAAATTGACTTCAGCCAGTTTAACCCTTGAAAAAACAAAAAAAGAGATAAAAATCAATTACAGTGGCAAAAGAAAGATATTTAATAAGACAGCAATTGACAGACAGACTAGGCATTTTCACACAAACAGAAGTCAAATTGAAATTATATTTTGTACCGATTCACCCAACTGCTAATAGTTTCAATCTAAACATGATATTGGCGAACAAAGAGTTTAATTCCCCCAATCATGCTCAACTTTGTACAAACAGCATTACAAAGTTAGATCCATATAGTTAGGGCATAGATATACACAACTAATACACCATCTAGACACAAGGAAGCTACAGATCCATTACCCTCAAAAACATGATGTACTAATCCATGTAGTCCAAGAACATGAAATGCAGGTCCACTTCTGTTACTTGTGCACTTCTTTTACAACCAAAGTTGTTATGCAGGAATGGAAGACTTCTCTAGTGCTCAAAAGGGGATTCAATCATAATATGTGGCATGAAAAATAACACCATAAATGCATAAATATACAAGCACATAACTGTTATTTCTTCCAAATTTGTGCATATCATTACCCCATAGACGTGAGCCATTTTGAAGTTCACTTGATCAGAACATAGAAGCTATTTAAGAAGCACTTTCTATCTTACGTTCTCAAAAGTTTGGAGTAAGAACTTGTAGAAGTTTGTCTTTGAAATCTCAGTGATAGAAAAAACTAGTGAAGGACGTAACATTTCTTGTTTAAATGAATCATGCTTAATATTAAAACTGATTATTCTATCAACAGCAGTCACATGGCATGAAATTTTAAACCAAGCTGATTCACCCTTGGATCATAACAATCTAAAAAAAGGGAGAAATATGTTGAATATTGTTGGATACACCAAAGAAAAGGAATATCTATCTAAAACTACAACTAACCTGTCTCCGCCTTCGACTTTGTAAGTACCATGTGCGAGCCATCACATAGCATGGCAGAAGAAAACCAGCAAATTGAAGAAGCATAACCTGAAACTGTTAACCGATATTCTAATTCAGTCTTGGCTTAAAAGGTTAAAAAAAAAATGAAAGCATCTCAAGCATCCCACAACATTCATCTGCTTGAACTTCCCTGTTAGAAAACAAATTTTTAGCTCTATTTACAAGTTACAACTATGTTAGTACTCTTAGCAGCATCATTTTAAAGGAAAATTTTGAATTTATACACACAAATTGATGCAAGTATACTTGACCATATGTCCATATACATCCCTGGACATGCATGTACAACATTTCCATGGCACCATGTGCAAATATAAACATGCAAATGCTCACTGAGGTGCTACTATGGTGCAATGTTCCATTTGGTGTCATGTTGTACTCACATTAATGAATGCTGATGACTCCTGCACCATGCCAGAATTTCTTGTCAACATAAGGGCTTGGCGTATGAGCAAAATTATAAGCAACTGCATGCAAACACATAAATTTCCAAATTTGAGACAAATTATCATTCTTGAGCAAAGAATTTTGGTAAAATAATAAGTTCAATCTGCTTACAATGAGAGCAACAGAGCGAAGACAGGCAAGGCTACCACTATTTGCAGCAACATAATCTTCATACTCTGAATGGAGTAATTGGGTTTGAGAAGCGGTTAACACCAGAAGGTGTGAATCACGAAGATCCATATGAGGGCTCCATGCTTGCCTGATCAAAAGTAGGATAATTATGAACTTGAAGAATGTTCCTTGGATGCATATATACAATCTGAAGTGCACTTAGAAAGATTAAGTGAAAAGAAAACTAACTAAATATCCCTTCTCAAACCAGCATCCCCACAATTTATGACTGGCTAATGCTCTAGAACACAAAAAAGAATGTCATACAACATCCTTCCTACTAACATCAATGAACTGACAAGCATTTTTCTGGCTCCTTCATTTTATGGTCCATGAACTTGCAAACAACCAAAAGTCATACAGGAATGGCACATGTGGCTGGTCCTAAGACATTTTCTTTCAGAAGGAATGGAATGACCAATCATTTACTCTATTCCACTCATTTTGATTTTTTTTCAATTATAAATATCTCTTTTTTGCAAAAAACTCTTATACATCTACTTTTTTTTTTGAAAAGTATACGGCCACTTTATGTCCTTTTTCTTTTTTTTTTTAAAAAAAGAAAGAATCAAACATCAGTTGATGTTAACTTATGAAGATGTTAATTTGTTATCTTATGTTACACACGTCCATTGCCATAAAGGAATTAATAATTTGGCTGAGTCAAAGCTATCGAAATTGGAACCAAGCTGGCCTAGATTGGACTGACACCTAACAAGGCATATAGATAGATTTCTGCCATCAATAGTTTTATTTTCTAATCTTTATAAGGGCAATAATGACGCAATGCCCAAACTAGTTTCTGATTTAGACTAGCACACTAATGTTAATAGAACTATAAGTCTCACATTCCATATCAAATACAGTTTGAATCAAGCTACAGGAAAGATATAGCAGTAGAAGAAACAAATAATGAAAAAACACTACTAAAAAGCTCCCCACCCCACCCCCCCTCCCAAAAAATAAAAGAATAAAGAAAAAAGGTTACCTTATGTCAATGGCCAAAACATCAGGACTGCTTCTGGTGGTGGAACAGAATAGTTTGGTGAAAAGAACCTAATAGAAAAGAGCAATATAGCACAAATTATACATTGACGTCATCTTTTTTCTCTTTTGGTATATGCAAGATTTTTTTTTAAAAAAAAATGAGCTAAAGCCTCCAACCTGTTTGCATATTTCGCAAGTTATGTCACCTTTCTTGTTGCACCATCTCTGAATGCATCTCCTGTGAGCAAACTAAAGCAAAAAATTCAAAGAATAGTTTAGCTGATGCCTCACATATTTCAATCTATGAGGTATCTAAATTGATAACCAGATAATTAACATATCAAGAAAGCAGATTTTAAACCTCAACAGACATGTCAAATTCAACCATTACATTGATGACAATTTCCACATATATATGCCAGGAAAAGCAGACCTTAACCACAAAGACAACTTAAAATCTATAAACGTACACATACTTGCTGATGTTAGAGGAAATTATTCACTCACATACCGTGCATTTACACTAGCTGACCTCTACAGATAAAAGCATGGCACAAAATTTACCAGCTCAAATTATAATTTTAATAAATGAAAACTAACAATTTCAGATATTAGCAAACTGTTTGGTTCAAAGACTGATCTATCAGGTCATTGTAAGTTGCCTTAAGGAACTGGACATCTGCAGCGGCCAGGTTCCTTGAAATAAACTTTGTAAGACAGTAGAAACATTGAAAAATGCAGTAGCACTAGTAATATACTTTTTAATATTTCTTTTACAAAGCAAAAAAGAAGGACTAAACAGCAACAGAAATTAAATATATGCTACATGGGATTTGAAAATCCTCCCAAAGCTAAACTAAAATTATAAGTTATTAAACTAATATAACTTCAGTGATCTACAAGCTAATCAGGTACGAAAAGAAAACCATTCTGACATTAACTTCAACCATGCCTGGCAAAGAAAAAGAAGGATAAGGAAACAAATGTACAATATTAATTATTTTTATAGTAGTAACTTAGATGAGGTTGGACATTTAAAAAACAATCATTCTTAATCCTTTTTTTTTGTTTAAAAATTTCTTCACAGAGGCAGAAAAGCACTTGAAACTTTAGGATTGGTACTTTGATATTGAGGCATAGGAAATAACGTGCGAGGAGAGAGACTAAGTCAAAAGAGACTCAATAAGAGTAAAAGGGTACACACCAAGCAATGCTCACTTTCCAAAACCAACAATACAAGCCTTCACAGGCGCAAAACTTGAAACCCACTTTACTAGAAACACCAGATAACCAGCTCTACATAACTGAAGCCCAGCTAACCCAGAACAACAAAACAAAAAGCCCAGCTAACCAAAGCTTTTTTTAACATTTTACAATAAGCTTTGTATTTTATATACAGCAATAAGCCAAAAACACTGAACCATCACCAAGACTTGAGAGAGAAAGTCAAAGGACAAACAAAAACAAGCCCAAGGGATCAATTAATTTTTAATTTTTACAACCACCCCACCTAAAAATAAAGCATATGGTAAGACCAAGAGAACATACAATCACAATCATCCAAGCGTAAAATTAAAAAAAAAAAACAAATGAGTTAAATCTTAAACGGAACCTCCTTTTCCTATCCCGAGATTTTCATTTAAGTAAAGAAACATCAGAAATAAAAACTTAGAAAGACAATCTTGAACAAAGAAAACAAGAAAGAAACAAGGAACCTCCATCTTCATTTAAAAATAAAAGAACCCAAAAATTCAAACTTAAACAAAAAAAGTAACCTTTAACAGAAAAAAAAAAGCAAGCAAGAAGAAGAAACCCAGAAAAGGAAAGACCTTGAGGGTGCCGTTACAGGCACAAGGAGCTTCCAAAGAAAGCAAATCATCTTCCTCTTGACATATCCTACACTCCACCATCTCTTTCAGCTTCGTTGAAAAACACCCTTCTTTTCCTTCTTTCTCACCATCATCATCACCACCACCACCACTTGATTCTTTAACAGAAACAACAACATTAGTATTCCCAGTCGTTGTTGTTGAGCTTGGTTGTCCTTCATTCACTGAAGATGACTCAAAACAAGCTGATGCTATGATTCTGTCTACACATACCATGAAATCATCCACCATTTTCGCTTTCCCTTTCTCTTTCTCTACTGGGTTTTCCTTTTTTTTTTTTTGTGTGTGTGCGCCTATGGCTTGTATCTACAGTTGTGCTCTTTTTTAGTTGGAGAACAAAGGAGAGAGAAAGAAAGAGAGAGAGTGGGGAAGTGGGGAGTTGGGTTTTAAAAAAGGTTGTGGTGGCGGAATTTACGAAAGGGACCAACGTATGTTTAATTGAACGGAAATGACCTTCACTTGGATTATTATTCTCCATTTTGCCCCAACTAAAATATCTTTCCTGCCTAAACGGTGGAACTGGCTTGCCTACTTATGTAGTCATAGTTAGTTAAGTCTGTTAGTTAACCCTGTTTGTCTTAACAGAATTTGATTATCGATAATCTCTAATAATTAGATGTTATTCATAACGTAAGTTTTTTTCATAATAATAAAACCCGTAAGAAAACTGTATATTTACATCTTAAATCGAAACTTAAAGTAATATTTTTTTATTAATTTATTTGAAAAAAAAAAGAGAAAAACACAAGAAGGCATACACTTGTTTTTCCTTTTTCTTCTTTTGGCATTGCTTTAATTGTAAGTTCTTTGTTGGGTGCTTCTATTTGCAAGTTATAATAAGGAGAATATTTCTTTATGATTTGTTTGAGTATAACTACTTTACTATTTGATACGATTGATATGCTAAATTTTCTTTAAATAAAAAAAATTGTTAATCTGATTTTTAATTTCTTCATGTTCATTGAATTAAATGTTATGATTCATATTTTATGATGTATATGAAATTAAAATATAGATTAGAATATTAATGGTGTTAAAATTCAAACTTAACTCATAAACCATAATTTTGAGTTCATAACTTAGATGATTTTTTGTGATGTATATGAAAAGGACTAACCAAACCATATACTTAATCACAAATTAAGTCTCTTAATAAGTTCAAAGCCATGCTTTTCTTTTTTATTTACCCAATAGTTTGTCTTGGCGTTATTCAGTAAGAAAGATAATTTTTACCCTATATATGTCCTATGGGGTTGGAGAGGCAAAAAGAATCCTTATTGCATTAATCACAAAGAACCCATTTTTGATGGCTTTAGTTTTTAGACTATTTCAACGTACTCCTAAGGCTCACATATAATACATTTTTTTAAAAAATTGAAAAATAAGATTCAAATTTTGCTATTTAAATAAAAGATTATATACAGATGAATAAGTTAAATGTCTAAATACCACATATAATACAAGATTGAGTGAAGGAAAATAAAAAAAAAAAATGGACGGCAGTAAATCATGGTTACTTGAGGGGACGTAGAAGGGAATTCACTCATCGCAAGTTGGGTGGGCTTTGTAATTAAAACAATGGGTTTTTTATTTAAATTTGTCAACTCATTAAAAAGGGAAGATACATAAGAAACATTGTGATTGCCGATTGCCAATTGCCAATTGCCAATTGCCAATTGCCATGATTTGGGTGTTGCGTTTGTTTTTGTATTGTTGAAGGGAGGATGTACAATCATGGGTCAGGGCTTGGAAAATTGTTGGCAAGGCATGCTCAAAGTGGGGAGTGGAGGAATTATTGTGTATGATTCGAAGGAAAAATGGGATAAGGAAGAGAAAAAAAAAAGTCTTGGATATCATCATGACTGGAGCAATACAAAATTGTAGATGGCTGTGTATCACATGAACTGTTCAGTTAAGTAATTCTTTTTTTTTTTATGATTAAGGTGGAATTGTCCTTACAAACGAATTGAATTTCGTAGATGTACTTTCAATTTATTTAATTTTTGAATAAAATAAAAAAAATGAAAGACTTTGTTAATGTAAATAACAATTTTGTCATTATATTTTTAGTTTTGTTGACTTTTAGATAAAAAAATAAAAAAATTGAAATATTTTATTCTGTCATTGTATTAATCACAGATTTGTGAGTTGTGACCTTGCCTTTCCGGGGAACCATGGAAGAACATTTTCATGAGGCCATCGACCGGTTGCGAATCTCCGTGGACTCAGTATCATCAGGTCTTCCCGAGACATAGTCCCATTGTTGTACTTGTTGGTGCCAACACATATCAGGCATTGGACAGAGCTTTTGCAAATTACGGGAGGGGTAATTCCATGGCTGCTGTAGGTGCAAAATGTTAAATAACATGACGGTTGACCGTTGAAAATTTCTGTTGAGGTAACAATAGCAGCAGTTATTTTGTGCCTCTCAATCCTTTGGTGGCAGGAGGTGGGAGAGGTTGTCTTAGATCTAAATTTTCAACTCAAAAATTATACTTATTAGATGAAGAAATATTTACTTTTATATATTTAAAATTTATTCATATTTTATTAATATAAAACGCTTCCAGGAAGAAGTCTAATATTTAATGAAGAAACTTGGATACTCCGTGACCAATATTTTGATCTTGACCATCAAGTAAAGGAGTTCCTTCAATATAATAGGTGGAAATGCCCTTGAGCTGGATAAGAGTTTTGGGTACGATAGAGGGAACCACAACTTTTAATTTTGCCCCATCTTTATTACTTGAGCTAAGCCCAATAAGATTTAAATGATAAAACTCACATTTTGATTTGAAACTTACCTTCTAGAACTAATTTTTCAATTAACTCAATCATGGACAGAAAAAGGAAATTCTAGATTGATTTGAATGTTATACAAATCTATTTTAAAATCTAGTTCGTTTGGTTTAAAACATATTAAGTCCAATTGTAAGAAATAAGATCAAAATATTGAAGTTGGATGATTTTTATGAATTTCAAAATTTTTTGGCCTTACTCCAATAAAATCAAACACATATTATGAGGTTTATCAAATATAAATTTTTTTTGGCCGTATAATTAATCAAATTAGCGCCATAAAAAATCTTAAAGGGTTAAAAATCCTCCTTTGTTCCACATTCTTTTGGCATCATAATTAGAATGATGCGCCTGCTTAGCGTTGGCAGCTTTTTTTTTTTTTCAAATATTTACAAAAAAAATTATTTCAAATTGAAAATTTTTATAAAATAATAATAATAGTAAGAAAGAATAATTTTAAATTAAAAAATATAAATAATAACAGTAATAATAAATCAAAGATAATTATTGTAAAGTATTGGCATTTTAAATTTTTTTCTCAATGTTTAAATTTTAATAACGAATTTTCATATTATAAAGTATAATTGTGTTTTTTAACTTTTAAAAGACAAGTTAATTCATCAAAATGTTGTATTTAATTTTATTTCATTCATTTCAATTCTTGCATATTTTGTTGATTCTTTTTAAGATTTTTATTTTATAATAATAATTTTTGTATTTTTTAGATTATTTTAATTTTTTATCTTTACTTTTTTAATTTTAGTAAAATTTTTATAAATTAATAAATTCGATTAAATAATATTTTTGATTGGTCCTAACTTGAGACCAACGTGATAAATTAATAATTCGCTAAATTTATAAAATAATGCATTTAAAAAAAACATATTGGTCTTACTTGATATATAAATTAATAATCTTTTTATACATCAAAATAATATATATACATACATACATATATATATATATATATATGATTCACTTATTAAGCATTTGTCAAATATGACTCTAATACTACTTGTTTCTTCTTAAAATTGATGTTATCATGGACCTCATCTCTAATTTTTCTTAGTGCATTAATAAGCTTTAATGTAATATTCTTATATTACAAGAGAAAATTATATAATGTGATTGTTACTTTGAGTACATTTTGCATGAGACAGGCTCTACTATAAAATTATTATTTTCAATTTCACATTTTTTATCATTTTTCATGACATTTTCAATAATTTATTCATAATGATAATTTATAATTTGGTAATTATATAATATTCATATATTACAATACACAATACATGTATTAAGGTCAATATTTTGAAAAAAAAAATATACTAATAAATTAATTTTTATTAATTAATATATAAATTAATAAATTATTAATTTATCGATTAAATAATATATTGATTAATTAATAAATTTTCATGTACTCCTCCTTCTTCTTGATTTACCAGAATAAGAAATAACATGCAAGACGTGTTATTTATCTTATAATATTCATACCATATATTAACATACTGTATGTATCTGATTTCACTTGCTGTTTGCTCTTACAAATTATTTATATGCAAAATTAGAATGCGAAAAACCTATAACCCTACCATTCCCAACCCCTACTCCTCAAATCTATGTATATAGACACTCCCCCAAGTCCGCTGACTGCACCACCATGTACTACCTCTCAGGATCTCTCTTAACTGTTTCAACTGTGTGAACTAGTCTGACACTACCTTGTTTCCCTTCCTTTCGTCACTGTTTCTTGTTCCTGCCTGTCTCTTCTTTCTTTTCTTAGTAATTTTTCCATCCATCAATTTGGATTTCTGGTTTTGTGATGGCCACGAATCCAAATCTTGAGGTGGTAAGTGACGTGCGGAGAGAAGAAAATTATCAAGGGAGGTGGTGGGGAAAGATTTTGGATTTGAGAGAGGCCAAAGAACAAATATCGACCGCATTGCCTTTGATCGTGGCTTATGTTTTCTGCTACTCAATGACTATGGTGTCCATTATGTTCGCTGGCCACCTTGGCGAACTTGAGCTTGCGGGTTCATCGCTTGCCAGTTCATGGGCCACGGTGACCGGTTTTGGTTTAATGGTGACCCTCATCTCTATATACCTTTATTGTTATAAGTCTCTCTCTGATCTCTCCATGTACATATATAGAAATTCCAAATATATTCAGCTGTTCAGAGAGAATATAATTGAGATAAAAGAAATGAAAATGAAATAAATATTTGGTGTCTCGATCTTCACATATATAATCATTCCTTTTAGCCACTTTCCATTGGAACTTATGATTTCTCTCGTCTGTTTCTTTTGCAGACGGGGTTAAGCGGAGCCTTGGAGACGCTTTGTGGCCAAGCGTTTGGTGCCAGAATTTACAGACAGCTGGGAATTTATCTACAAACATCCTGCCAAATTTCTTTCCTTTTCTCTATTCTCATATCCGTTCTATGGCTCTTCACAGAGCCCATACTCGTCCGCCTCCGTCGAGATCCTGAAGTTGCAACTGCTGCCACCCTTTACATAAAGTACCTCATTCCTGGGCTATTTGCCATCGGCTTTGAGCAAAACATCATGAGGTACTGTCAGGCACAAGGCATTACGTTGCCTTTGGTCTTGTTCACGGGGGTGCCATTTGGCCTTCATTTTGGGCTTGTTTACTTTTTGGTTAATCGGACAAGTATGGGTTTCATAGGATCGCCAGTGGCAGCTTCAATTTCAATATGGATATCATGTCTTTCGCTAGCAATGTTTGTCATCCTCTCTAAGAGGTTTGAGAACACGTGGAAAGGGCAATCGTTAGAATCATTTGGTAACATTCTCAAAATCTCGAGACTAGCCATACCCTCTGCAGCCATGGTGTGGTGAGTTTTCGACGCTAATCTTTAAATATCTCTTCAATGTGCTCAGTACTTTCCTTGTATAACTTGAATATCAACAAGCTCACCTATTTTCACTTTTCTTCGTCTTGCTAATCTGGAGTATTGGGCATTAGGGGTTCTTATAATTTTAGCAGGATTGATGCCGAATCCAAAAATCAAGTCTTCATTGATTGCAATATGGTAGGCTTCTCTCTTTCCATTTTGGTTAAACAGTCTGAACTAAAAGTTGAGTCCAAACTATAGTACCAGAAACAATGGCTTTCAAGGGTATATATATTTGTCTTTGAGCAAACTTGCATGGATGGCAACCTTTTCAGACTGTTTAGCATATTCCTTTCCTTTAATTTTCCTCATAAATTCTCCTAAGCATTTTTACCAAGCTCGATGGTGATGGATATTTTTTCTTGATATTTATAGCCTGAATATAGAAGCTATTGCCTACATGATTACATATGGCCTTAGTGCTGCAGCAAGGTTAGTAATTTGCACTCCTATTTTGTATAAATTTATTAAAATTTCCGAGAATGTTAACGTTGTTATAGATATTGAGACAAGGGAAAACCTTTTTTGACAGCGTAAGGGTGTCTAATGAATTGGGAGCTGGAAATCCTAACCTAGCTAAGCATGCGATGGCTGTCGCTTTGAAACTATCATTCCTTCTTGCTCTGGTAGCTGTACTCATGATATTTTGGCTAATTTCTTTACAGACAGTTCTTCAATGATAAAGAAATTTGCCTCAATGTCACCCCTACTTGCAGCCTCCATAGCAATTGACGTCATACAATGCGTCTTATCAGATTCAGATTAATGTTCTGCAAATTTCTATTTCAGTAGCAATGCATATATATTCATCAGTATTATAGGAGTAATACATTTACAGATTTGATGTCCCAGGGGTGGCCAGAGGATGTGGTTGGCAACACCTAGCTGCCTATACCAACTTGGGGTGTTTCTACGAGATTGGTCTTTCAATTTCTGTCCTGCTTGGGTTTAAGTTTAACCTACATACTAAGGTGAGGAAAAGTAATAAACCATATCCATAATACTTACATATGTATACACACCTATTTATTCCTTTCTGTGATTTATTTTTGTACAGGGATTATGGACGGGCTTAATTTGCGGGCTGTCTTGTCAAGCTGGCATCCTCTTCTTGATTACATTATATACAAAATGGAGTCGAGTTGATCTCTCGGAGGAAACCCCAAATTTGGGTTAAGACTAGTCACTTGACTCTTTGTTCATTTTGCTCCAAATAAAATAGAATTCTGTATAAGCCTTTTAGGAATAGAATGTGTGTAATCATAATATATAGCATTAGGAATTGATTTGGGCACTACATATCATTAGGAAAATCAATTTTCGGAAGGTTTAGTTTTGCTATAGGGATCATTTATACACTGAAGATTTTCCTTCTCTCGGTTTCTGTAAAGTGCTGCTGTGAGACAGGTCTTTTTTGGAATAATATCTTCTGTTTTTCTTGTTTGTTCCGCCAGCAACATGCCATTACCATGGTGATACTTTTATCTTTCGAATATATCCAGTTCAATTATATACTAATTTGTTCATGATTCTTGGAGAACTTGCAGGGACTTGTGATATTGCACATGATCGATGTGAGCAAAATGATTGCAAAGAAATGGCTCGTGTGATTTGAAATAGGAATACGTAGGAGTGTAGTTTTGTGAGTATAATTGTTTGATTAGATTGACATGAGTATTATTCTGAACTGATTAATGTTCAAGTTTTTGTTTTATGGGTAGGAAGCTGCAATTTATTTTTTAAGGCAGCTACATAAGATTTTGAGATAAACCGTTACTAGTTTTTTGAGCGGTAATTGTTTTTTGTAATTGAATAAGTTTTTTTTATTATCAGGTCTTTATGTCATGAAATGTCTCTTACTATTTAAACAAGAGACTTAGAATGACATATTAATAAATATACTTTTCAAAAAAAAAATTATATACTAATTTGTTGATTGAAAATACTTAGGAGAAAGGAAATCTGGAATCAGCCGATAACAAAAGTCAAATTAACTGTATTCATTTCATGTTTCTTGCAGGCTCCTAGAGAGAAGGAATGCATTATCATCATTACTTACCATGCACCATGCTAAACCATTGTATGTCGTAAAAAGTATCATGGTTCATAAGAAGAGAAGTTGGAGGGAAAGACATTGATCATAGTCCATATCCTTAATTTATCTAGTTCTTATCAAGTTATAGCCCAGTACTATTGGACATACATATATTGGGATCCCTGCAATTTCTCTCTACCAATTTATCTATACTGGGGGAGAAGTTGTGGTGAGATTTACCATCACAAATTCCAAACCATGGAGAGAGATTGAAGCAGAAATCTTCTCCTTTGATTCAGTCATGTGTTCAATAAACTAGGGTTTGGGGAAGATACATGTCTGCCACTTGTGGGATGGAGAGGATGAGACAAAGCAAGTGACAGTGAAGCTGTGGAGACCTGCTCCCGCAATGAAAATGGTAAAATACTTATTTTGATGCATGTAATATATATATATATATATATATATATATATGATAGTCCGAAAATAGACTTGGAGGTTGGAAGTGTATCAAGATAGGAAATATGGTTATATGCACGCATTTTTTTTAAGTACACTAGATTTGTAAAAATTAGTTTCTTTAAAATGCACGTGAAAAAAATAATCATGATTTTTATTAAAAAAATTAATTTTGATTTAAATTTATCAATCGAGTTAGTATCACTTGACTCAATACTAAATTTCATCAAGTTATGTCATTAATTTTATAGAATTTTGTTTTATATAGCCAAAAAATTTAGGTTCATGGAAAAAAGAATAGATAAATTGTTTAGAATTTTTGGCTACCAAGTAGACAGAGGTCACTTTTCCGATTATCACCCAGAGTCTGACTTGTAAATCTTGCTTGATTGGTAATTGTGTTAGGACAATTAGGGGAAAGATAGCAAATTGAGTTGAAATTCCAATCTAGAGATCCTAGTGAAGGTAATGAATATTAAGGTAAGTAAGATAAGAAAATGCAAAAGAAATAGATTTTAAGGTAAGTAAGATAAGAAAATGCAAAAGAAATAGCAGCTCCCATCACCCCACAGGTTTTTTCTTTTTTAAAAGGAATCTTGGGGTTTGGTGGGAAATTGGAGATGGAATATTTCAATCTAAACTAGGGAGGAGGATTGTTAGTTGCCATTTTTTTCATGTTGATTAGGCCAAAAAGCAGCTTGGAACAAACTAGGGCTATCTCAAAGCATTGGAAAAATTAGAGAGATACTTCTTTCCAATAAGAATGAAAATTAGGATACACATTGCATGATTTTTCACAGCACATGATAAATCCCAACACAACAAAATTAATTAGGATAATAGCTGAGGAGATGCCAATACCCTCGAAACTTTGTTTCTTTAAAAATTCTTCATAGCTTTTATCTTAGAGGATGCTGCAGAGGCAGAAAATGAAAAGTGTTAACCAGAAATTTGTTCATACAATAATAGTGTATATTATAAGAACACATGTAAGATTGATTTTAATTAGAAAATATAAGAAAAAAAGTGTAAAGAAAATAGACTTGCTCTTGGCAATTGGTGTGCTGGGAGATTAAGAAATTAATTTGAGCTTGCACTTTAGAAGGGATAGATGACGCTGCATCTACCTTAATGGTGGTGAAACGGGCAGCAGCTTGCTTAACACAGTTGCAGACTCCTTGCTTGTTGTTTAAGTTTGGCTATGGCTTGGCGAATGGAGATCTCCATTGGGGTATATATATAGCATTTACATTTTGGTGATAACAAAGACACAGCATGTGGGTCAATGGCATAAGTAAGGTTGGGCTAACGAGTTTTGGCTTCCTCTTTACCTGGTTTCCTGAAATAGTAAAAGAGATGCCATAACCATGGCAGTAACAGATTGGTTTCTTGCAACAGCAAAGAAGATAAGCTTCTGGATCAGGTTTCCTCCGTTTAAAGTTTCTCTTTTAAGCTCTTTCCTCAACCGTGAAGCAACCATTGCAATTCAGAAAAGCATCGCACTGCAGACGCAGGGTCCAAGGTCAGTACCCAAAAAAACTTTGTCGGCAAATTTGATTTAAACTGCATCAACTAAAACAAAAGCAAGCTTCATGAACCAAAGCTAGTGGAGAAAAATGATAGAAGAAACCTCAGAATTACTGCTCTTGTTCATAATAAGGCCAGCTAAAAATGCTTGAAAGCAACCACAAACAATAAATCAGGAAGAAGGAAAATAAAAATCAGTCCTCTATAACTTCATCAACCATATCTTGGTCCAAATTCCTTGGTACAAAACCCGCTCCGATCCCTTGAATCCTGTGAGGACCTGCATTTTATGGGGGAAAGGGGGCTCTTAATGTAAGATGCACATTCCTGAAAAATAACACATGAAGATATGATTATATCAGAAAAATGATCTCCTCTTCCCAGGCTTTCCACAGGAAAGTATGTTACTCTCTGTAGGTTCTACACCAAAAACCTGATGCATCCAAAGTAAAATACAAACAGTCAATTATTCAGTTGCAAAAGAAGGCAAGGCACTTTTGTTTGGTGGTAAATTCTCCAAAACGTTTCCCTAAAATTGAATGCAATAATGTTCACAAGGGCATATGAGATAAATGAAATGCAGGATTTGATAAAAGGGGAATGATTGCCTTGGCTTTAGGATTTTGTTTTCTTTTACGGAAGCTACCAACTCCAGATATGGTTCCACCAGTTCCAATCCTTGCAACAAAAATGTCCACTTTGTTGTCTCATAGTGTATCTGGAAAAGGAAAGATGGATTTTAATCTAAACCCATAAAATTCAACAAGGTATTAATAGGGAAATGTAACTACAAACTTGAGGATTTGCCGGATTGCTCAATTGTTGAAGCATGTAGCATTGAGTGTGCTCTTCAAAATCTCTTCCGCTTTTTAAACTGTTCCCTTCATGCCTTTTGCTGAATCAGTTAAAACAAGCTCAGCTCCAAAAGCTTTCAAAAGGACTCTTCTTTCCGAACTCGTTGATGCTGGCATTGTCAAGATGAGCCCATATCCTTTTCAGGCAGCTATGAATGCAAGGCCAATGCCTGTGTTTCCACTAGTCGATTCCACAAGAATACCCTGAAAATATTGAAAGAAGAAACAGAGAGCAACATGTCATAAGTACCAAAATTTATTTAAAAGAATCTAGGAGGTAACACTCACAATGAGTATCACAGTAATGGAAGTTAAGTAATGATCTAGAAGGAGATTTGTAAGTTAAATCGTGCTCTCCTAAATGTTAGCATGTACATATATTATAAAAACAAAAGAAACAATTGAACTGTATTACATTTTTGCAGTAAAATTGGAGCGCAATCCCTATTTTATAAGTGGACAACTATAGGGAACTAGGAAAGCCACTAGTAAATAAAATATAACACGTTATGACACTGGAAACCATTAGATAAACAACCAGAAAATAAGATGCAAAGCTGGGGCATTAGTCCATGCAGGAGAGAAAAGGTCAAACCTAAAAGATGCCTAATAACTGGTGTGATACTGTACTAATATGCAGGCATTTATAACCTTCATGGCAAATTCTTCATTAAGGTCTGTAGGGTTAGACTTAGTATAGCCGTCACCTTCATAAGTATTGCTTTTAATTCTATAAAGAGCTGGATGCTGTGTTGATCTCTGACAGAGTTAGAGATCGAGTTGCTCACTTTTAAACAACAAAGAGACTAGCTAGTTAACCATTGCCTTGTCAACGACTTAAGGAAAACTAACAAAGTAGAAACCTCCCATTTTATTCTCTCTTGCTATTAGACATGAAAACAATTCTCTCTCTTCTTTTATCTCTCCCTTTTAATATATATCCTTACGTAGATGGTGTCATACATACTTACTCTTTACTTGATCCTTTGTTTATTGTTCACACAAGCTGATTGGAAGCCAAAGTCACCCAATAAGCTTGGAGGAATTGCTCAACTTATTGTGTCCTTTAGTTCCATCGAGGTTGAAGCAACCAAACCATGAGCTTTGATTATGAAATGAGAATCATTTTGTAGATGCGTGATCCAAGGAACCTTGCCAATCACTTTCCAGGACAAGGTTCAACCTCCGAAGAAACTGCCTCTGCCAATCCTTCTGCATGGAAACCTTCTGCTTGTCGCCCTCCGAATGCTTAGAATGCAGCTGCACTTCAGTCTCTGACAACTGTGCGTGGGGTATCTTACAACGGTGAATTGAATGAAGTGCAACTTACAAACAAGAAACAGATAAAAATTTTATCAAGTAGTAAAAAGGACAATTAGTTACAAAAGATCAATTTTGGAACAACTCTTTGGTAGACTATATCACTGAAGATCTAGTACCGATTATGGAAGCTAAAAGGGGTGATTTTTACTTTTTACAAAAATAAGAGATAATACAACATCCCTTCAAGCATGTGTTGCATCATTTGTTTTCTCAGTAGCTTAGTCCCAGGCATACCTATCAAAAGGTTTCTTGAGCATCCGGCTTTTGCACTCCTGATTTAGATGAGTAAAAACATGAAGGTTTATATACTTGTGTTGTTTGCTCATGCACTCTGTGAGATGGTGCTTGAATGCGTGATGGTTAATGTTGTGGAAACTTCTATAATGGAACTGCAGTTTGCACTATTCGTATGATATTTAAGATTTATAGTTGTATTTTCTCGCTCAAGTGGTTGTAGCAGTGTAGTTCATCCTTGGGCTTTGACATGCCTGAAGGATTGGGTGCCGTTGGTAAAACTGGATACACTCTGGAAAATTGGAATATTGCATCTGAGAAAGGCACCATGCTTAATAACATTGCTGATCGTTTTCCATTAAGAGTCCACAGCGAAGACCTTGGAAAGACGGTTCTTAGGATCTCTCTGAGTTCAATACTCTTTAAAAGAGTGCAGGCAAAGAAATGGTGGTTAAAAATAAAAATACAGTCATTGATGCCTTCCGAACCTCATTGGTCTGGTCTCCAAGAAATCTACAAAGAAAGTGGGTTACTCTCCATCTTCTCCTGTCTTCATCCCTTATATTTGGCAAGTAAATGTACCATTGGATGGAGAATTAGATCTGACAAATCTGATGACAATGAACTATTCTTGGAGGGTAGTTTTACCTTTATCTTTTAAAGCCTTGCCGCCAATTCTGGATTTAATTTTGTTAAAACAAAAGTTACATGTGGAAATCATTTTTAGGAGTCATTGGATATGTGACATAAAGAAATGAAAATAACAGCTTTCTGGAATACATTCTTCAAGCAAAGGTACTTTTCATCAAGTTAGTACGGACTTTAACATAAATATTAGCAGGACTGCAATAATTAGTAAACATTTAGGCTCAAAAATCTATTACTACGCTTTCAAACCCATCACACATGCAGAGACAGTTTTCATTTCATTAGGGTGGTGCAAAGCTGAGCAGTTTCATTTACCCCCAAAAAGGGAATGTTTCAGCAAGTTGCCATCATGACTAAATAGAACGACAAACAATCATGCTGAAAAAGTTTGAACTAGTACTATTGTGTCTCAAAATTTCACATCAGTTGTCCATGTACCTTGCACACTAGGGTGTTTGGTTACATGCCTCGTCTTCAATTTCACCACCTTTCTTCCCAAAGCGTTCCTCAGCCTAGTTGCATGCAGAAGGATGTCTTCTGGAGTCATATTCTTTACACATATCACTCGCTCATTTTTGTTCTCTGAGAAATTGGCAAGAAATATGCTTTAGATAGGGGCAGTGCCTTTGGAGAAAACAAGCATGTTCAGAGACTTGCATTCTGATAACAATACATTCATTAGATGCAGGTATGTCCAAAGTACTCATCCAAGAAAGTAAGAAAACTTACTGTAAAAGCCCTTCAGATGTGGATGCTGTCCACGAATGAGTTCAGTAACCACCTCCAGCTGAGGGCTTTTCTCTTTAAATGTTGGTAACTGTGACTCCATAAATGCCCTGACATAATAATGCCAAAATATGAAAGTGAGATTGAATTTGAAGAATTCAGTAGCCATTTAAAGGAGAACTTATATCTGCACATGCTTCTCATAATTATTAATTATAAAGCTTGAACTTAAGACATAGCATATGAATCCAAGAACCAAAAGTTAGACAAACCATCCTATTGCCCTGTTCTTTTATGATACTAACAAGTTAACAAATATGCTAATTTGTTAAACTCTACAAGTTACAACATGAAGATCCTGCATCACTTAGCTTATCTAATTTGTTTTCATTTGCATATAACTAGCAATGTTCATAAGTGACAAATCAGCAATCAAAAGTAGCACCCGAGCATTGGCTCATTAATTGGTACATGATCCCCTGCCTAAAGAGCAGGGTTCAAATCACCCGTCTTCTAATTAAAAAAAAAAAATTCAAAAGTAGCTTATGGAACAAGATTGTGAAACAAAACTTGCACAAAGATATTGAGGCAAAATTTTGTGATGTAAGATAATTTTATGCAATCTTGGGACTTTAAGGATTATGAACAATAATGGACCTCAAATGGAAAACGTAAAAATTTGTCCCCTACAATTTGGGTGAATTGGATTAATTAGCAACCGTCCCAGCATTCACTGGGTTCAACCTGACAGGTGTCACTTAAAAGTGAAGAGAAAAAATGGGGGAAAAAGGATTTTATTTTTCTGGGGTGGGAGTGCATAGAGATTTAGAGAGACACTAACACTCTTTTCTAAAAAGAGCAAAAACTACTGAAAAATAATCAAAATAATCATTAAGATTTCATTGGATTCCAGAAATATAAATGAAAACACAAAGTCAGCAGGTTGGAAAGCTTAACAAGAAAAGTTTCTCCGGCAAGCAAACCATACAGCTGCAATAAGAAATGTTTGTAATTTCTAGGTAAATGTTTCAGAAAGTGGATGAAAGCCAAAAAATTCAAGCGATAGAAACTTAGAGAAGAAAGAAAAAAATGAAAAACAAACAAAAGCTAGCACTTTTGGTGATTCAAAATGGCTTCAAGAGACCACCCCCCAAGACACACACACACACACACACAACATGAGAAAGCAAAAGGACAAAAGGAACTTCAAATGACAGCTGAAATTCACTATGGGTCTCTGAAACGTGAGAAAAATATAAATCCAATCAACAACATTAAAACGCTAAAAGAAGAAAGGTGGCTTAAGCAAGGATCTTGAACAAGCATGGCAAACCATTGTTAATAATTATTGGGCAAAGTTTTGTAAGATTAATGAAAAATCAAAGAAAGATTCAACTAAGAAATTTGGAGAAAGCAAAATATTTTAATGAAATTTCAGGAACTACCCTAAGGTACTCTCACACATTCAAATTCCTAATAACCTATGGTCATAACAAGGTGAAGAATACCATGAGACAACATTGGATGATACAAAGCATATGAATCCAGCCTGCTAAATAAAATTTATATATTCTAGCATTCAGCCCACATGTAAGAAGATGAACATTGAAAAAAAGAAACTTCAACATGGATTGAAAGAACGATGTAAATTTCCATAAATACTAATCTCATTCATCTCATTAAACCCCTCTCCCCTCAGGACCACACAACAATTTAAAAGAAATAAAAATATAAAGAGCTTCTAAACTCCCAAAATTGACATAGACATGCTCAAGTCAAGATATAGAAAAATACAACGACACGCCTGCCTTAAACCCATCCCAAAATTTAGCAAACAATTTAAGGGGAGAAGATGCCCATTTCTATTAATATCTACCCTATGTTGCTTTCAGTGATTTACTTCAAAATTAACCAAGATCCTCAAACAGTGAGGGGTAGCTGGCTACAAGAGAACCAGGTTAATTTCACTTAGAGGTTCAATCACATCTCCTTTCTTTCAATTTCATAGGTAAAAGTGACCAAGTAGAAAGGAGAAAAGTCAACAATCATACCTGATGCCCCTACTACTCCCTCCCCAATCACAATAGCTTACAATCAGCTTTTGAAGTTGCCAAACACCTCGCAACGCCATCTGCATTTTCAAATACATATACAAATAATCAACTAATTATTTGCTTAACCCATTTTTCTAAAGAACACTGAAGATAACACAAATGTATTAGATCCTTCGTTTTTGCCAAAATTTTTCCACAAAACTTACAATTTCAAACTAACGAAAGCTCAAATAACTAAAATACAAAACAAATAAATCCACAATAATTCGAATCGTAGGCACAGTTGAGGTTCTATATATTTGAGATTGCAATAGAAATTAAAATCTATGTATTCAATAAGAATTACTAATTTTTTAAAAGCTAATTCAGAAATGTGAACAAACGAGGATTTTGCTAAACATTACTCATAATTGAAGCAAAGACAAAAGCTCAGTTGAAGTAAGCCTATACCTTGGAAAAATGGAAATCTCAGAGAAGATAAAAAAGCTTCTCGGAAACCAAACAAGTTTAAAGAAAAGAGGAAGACGCAAACCTAATGATGTTGAATTTCGATTATTGCTTCTTTTTCTGGGAAGAGAAGACAACCATGGAAACTGCGAATAATGGTGGTACGTTTTAAGCGTTTAGGGCTTAAGCCCGACTAAAAATTGCAACAGGGCGGGTACCCGTAACCATACCCAAATTTCTACTACTTGAATCCGACAAAAACCGATTTACATTTTATAATTACTATGGAACCTTACTAAACTCGACAGACAACATCTGCTAGTCATCCGAATCTGAATAATTTATTAAAGGAAAAAATTAATACAGAATGTAGGGTCATATCATGGTAACATGAATTTCAAACAACCTTTCTATCTTTTCTCCCAAAAAAAAATCTAATAAGAATAGAGACTTACCTTCAAACTTAAGACGATTATTCCATTTACTTTTTGTATTTGTCTCAATTTTATTTATAAAAATATTTAAATCTTATACAATCAAATTGGATAAAATTAACGTTTAAATATTTAATTTATTAATTAGTATATGATTTATTATTAAAAGGGTAGAGTTAAAATTTTCATTCCCCTTATTATAAAAAAAATTAAATAAAATTAGGTATTCCATTATTCACTATTTATTGTCATTTTATTTGATTTTTTAAATTTTAAAAATTTACAAGACAATTAACTCGAAAGAAACTAATAAAAAACTTCACGTATTTTGGATTAGGATTCATTTATGCAACATAATTAGGATGACCATTATTTTGTTAAAATTGAATTAATTGTAAGAATTTGATTATTAGTTTTTTTAATTATTTGATTAGTATTAGAAGTACTTTTATTTATTTATTTACTTTTATAATTAGGAGAAAGAGGATTCGAATCATATTTTTTAAACAGGAGAATAATACACCAACCAATGAGTTAAATGCTCAACTGCTACTTTTATTTATTTGATTTAATTTGTCGATTTCAATTATAACATTGAAAATTCAAATAATCAAATGAATCGAATCTTGAAGTCTAATATATAGACAATAAGTTTGTAGTAACAATTGAATATATCTTTGTTTATATTTGTTGCAATATTTTAATACTGTTAAGCTTATATTGTGGGGATTTTATAATTTAATTTTATTTACATTTTACTTTTTTATATAATAAATGAAAAACTTGAACCTAAAAAAATTGGGTTTAAGTGTTCAATTACATTAAGATCAAGACAATTTCTGGAACTAATTGATATAATTAGATTATAACATATAGTTAAGTCGATTTCATTAATTAAGGATCTTAGTTTCGTAAATTTGATTTTAAGAATTTTATAAGGCAAATAATTTTTTACATATTTTTTTATTCTTTTCACTTTCTAAATTTTATCAAGGAAATTATCCACATATATAGATTTTAATTTTACAAGAAGTTCTATAAATTCGTCATTTGTATGTAGAGACTAAAGACATCCAAATGTTAGAGTTAGACTACTCGGCCGGGCATACGGGGCTCCGTCCAAGTTGGGTCGGGCTTGAGCGTTTGGGTTTAGGTATAATAAATAATTTTTTTAAAGGAAAATGTATTAAATTTGCAGAAATCGATTGTTAGCATTTTCATTGAAAGGTCAATTTGTCAACCAAATATTTTAATAATATTTCTTCTTGATCAATTTTACGAATTAAACTACGTAATAATTGCCGTTTTTTCTCTATTCTATTTGTATTATATTCTATCAACCAAACATGAGACGCGAATAACTATTCTGTGAAACATGTATCCCACGAATCAAAGGTATGAAGTGAGCTATTTCATTCGCGCAACCAAACATCACCTGCAGCTGAGCTGCAAGGCAGGGGGAAGATAAGAGAAATAAGATGTCAACTGGCGCCTGGTCGCTTTCAAGAAAACCGACCGGGGACCTTGTAAATAAATTAATAGACAGACACAAGTTTCCATGTTTGTCCGCTGATCACGCATCTTCTCTTTCCTCGGAGGCCAGCTGCTATTGTTCTTATTTGCCTGGTCTTTCCCCTCATTTCTATTTTCTCGAGGACATGGCCACATCAAGACTTCCCCAGCCTTCCTCAGGCAAGCCCCCTTTTGCTAACTTGTGTCCTCTATGGCCCATGGAACCCTCCATGATCATCTCCACGGCAAAATTGATTACAAATCCCCATTATCATGGAAAAGAAGGCTTGAAATCTGCATTGGAGTTGCTCGTGGACTAGAAAGCCTGCACACAGGTAACCCCTTAATCATCCACAGGGACATCAAAAGCAGGAACATTCTTCTAGACCACAACTGGGTTGCAAATATTTCGAATTTTCAGATCTCGAAACTGCTGCCATCAAGCTTGTTAGAATCAGATAGTCAGGTCAGCACTGCCGTTGCGGGCACTTTGGGCTATTTGGACCCTGAATATGCGTATCTTGGCCAGCTTACAGTTAAATCCGATGTTTATGGTTTTGGAGTTGTTTTGTTTGAGGTGTTGTGCTGTAGAAAACCTATCTCTATAAATGAGAAAGGGATAGACCTAATTGCATGGGCCAGAGAATGCGTGGAAGATGGTAAACTTGGCGAAATAATTGATCCTCGCCTGAAGGGTGAGATTGCACCACAGTGTCTGAAAGCATAGGCGGATTTAGCGTATAACTGCACCGACGGACGCGGAAGTGAAAGACCCGGAATGTCTGCTGTCTTGAAGAGGCTTCAGCTTGTTTTGTTGTTACAGGAGTGTATTGAAGCTGATATACCTTACTCACCGTCTTGGCTAGCCTCTCTTGTACCACGACCCAAAAGCAGCGAGCCATTGGTCGACGTGGACGCTTCGCAGATATCTGCACTTGATTCCGATTATGAGGAACTTCTTCGCGATTGAAAAGTATAGTAATTGCCTAAAAAGGGTGAGATTCAAGCAAAAGATCTTTCAGTCAATCATTCTGGGTAAAAGAGACTAATGTACAACAGCTATTTTGATTGTTTGGGAGATCAATTTGCAAAGATTGATCGCCTTAATTTTTTGATTGGAAAGTCGCTTGTAGAGTTTAAAGCTGGACAATAAAGAAGCAGATGACGAATCATACAATCTGTTATATTATTATTTAGAGAACATATACATTATATTAGATTATACTATACTGTAGAATGTCTAATATGTTATTATTCTATATTACAACTCGTATATTTTGCAATACTATTATATATTTAAATATAATTATGTATTTTATTTGATAGCATTGAATTATAATATTTTGACTATTTCAATTGTAATTTTTTTAAAATTATAAATAAAGGATAATATATTTAAATAAATAAATAAATTATGGAGTATTATTTTTAAGACTATTATAAATAAAGGATAATAATAAACAATTATTGTTGTTTGAATAATATAAAATATAATGATAATTTTTATATTATATATAAAGATATTGATCTCCAATTCATGATCTAATTTCCAAGCAACAGGATACGATAGTGTAGCTCCTTGCAGCAACTCAACACAGACACAGTTCAGACAAGCAGTGGCAAAGTGGGCATACCTGTAAATTAAGTTTGCTTGGTTTAGTTGTGCTCTGCCTGATGTCTTTCTGGTTCCCGAGTGTCCCTGCTTGAGGTTTCTGTCTTCCTCGAAGAAGCTGACTTGAGCCAGCTGTTCCAAGCTCAATAGCTCAAAGTCAGTCAATGTGCCAGCCCAAATGATTATAGAGGAAAGGGACCCACTTATATTCTTACCTGTTTTTTTCATATTTGTTTATTTTATTCCCAACCTGCCTAAGACTATTTTACATAAGAAATCAATTAAATTTTTATTATTATTTTGGAATATACTTAATTATTTTTTAATATACAACAGATGGTGTAATTTTCATTTTTTAAGATTTAATTAAAGTAAAATATTTTGATTTTTTAAAATTTAATGAAAATTATATAAAAATCTATTATTTTAAAAATAAACACTTTATTTAAAAAAATATTTTTTACTAAACACTACAATTCAGCTGTTAATCAATTATTAATATTTTTATCAATTTATTGACTTAACAAAAATATCTTTAACTAATTTTTATAATTATAATTATATAATTTTATTATTTTTATAATTTAAAAAACAAAAACTTCTCCCGGAAAGAGCACCCTTTCTTGGAGAGCTATAAAGCACCAAAAGGTGTTTTTTTCTTTAAAAAAATATAATAATAATTTTTAAATTAATAAAAAATATTTTATTTTTTTATTTGAAAATTAATAGAACTAGGCGTGATTTTGATATAATCTTTAAAAGGTAAGGTATTTTACCCATTTAATTAGGTTCCGTATACCTGTCTGTCATTCTACTGTACCTGTACCTTCTACTTTGAAAATATTTGTATGCACCGTATAAGAAGAAAATGTACGGACCCTCAAAACTAAGAGGGCTAAAGAATCCCTTTTTGCTTTGGCGGGCAATCAGTAAGAACATCTCTCGACGCTCTGCAACAATCTCGTCCCCACTCCAGGTATGGAGAAATGAAGAGTAATTTTCACTCGTTTTTCCTTTTTCAATATGAATTTATCGTCTCTCTTTATTTTATACTCTCACTTCTAAAGCTCTATTTACTGTATTCAGAAGCCTTTTTCTAAAAAATTTTTATTATCCCACTATATTGTTGCTTAATTTGTGTTTTTGTGCTGTTGTTGTTAGGTTAGAATATTTGAAGTGGAATGCGAACATTTTTGTTAAGAAAAAGCCAAAAAAAAAAGCGTTTTCTTTTGTTTGGTAATTGCAGGGAAATAGAAATATGTCTAAATGGGAGAGTTTCAAGGTTTAAATTCAAATTTCTCTGATGCCATTGACAGAGATTCAATGCAATATTTTTATTTTTTAGGAGTGGATTGTATTTTTTAGGAAGAGCGAAGAATATTAAATTTTATGATTCCATCGCAGGCTGATATGTTCTTCTTCTTCTTCTTCTTCTTCTTCTTCTTTTTATCGTTTTTCATTTGAGTTATTCCATTTAATCGTGTCATTTCCATTGCAGGAGAATTGACATTGGTGGGCTTTCTGGTCAATTTCATCTTTGAAGGCTCTTTTTTCATGTCTTAATCAAAGAGGAATTGCTGTTATGAATTTATGGCGTGTTTTCAGTCTTTGAATTTTCAGACTCATTCC